AAATAGTAAAATGAAGAAAAGCATTTAAATATAATAAATAATCAGACAATAAGATTAAAATAGAAGTTCTGTTATAAAAAAGGAGGTAATTAGAACAAAAATTGTTAAATGGATTTTATAACAGATAAAACTCAGAAAATAAAATTTAAAATGAGAAAAATATTAATTAATAATATATTGTAAAAAATATATATAAATACTCCCATAAAACCAAAAGGTACCATTATTATCTTAAACTTATATATATTTATTAATCTCAAAATCAACATTCAAACCATTTGGGATCATAGTATCCAATTCAAACATCCATTTCATTTCTGCAAATCCTAAGGTATATTCTTTATCTCCACCTCTCCAGTGGTGTTGTGGTCGTGACCTAAATATGAATATTAATCTCTTAATACATAATAATTAAGCAATACGGAACAACATTAATATTTTTATAATTCATGGTATTATGGTCAAATATGTGGATAGAAAATACACAAAACGTTGTAATAGTAAATGTATATTTAATATAACTATAATAAATAAACAGATGCTAGCGGAATGTCAATTTACCACAATAATTATACAATACAATACTACACAAAACGCTATTGGTTGCTAAATATTATACAATTGCTAACTGTTACAATGGATTCATATTACTTACAAGGCCCCAGCCAGGGGGCTAGGGCTAAGTCAGAGCTGGTAATACATGATCAGTCAGGTACAGGCAAAAAAAGAGAAAGAGCTTCTCCTGCATCTGGTTTTTATTCAGTGTAAGTAGGCTGGCCTGTGATGTCACTGCCAGAAGCACATGTCTTCCTACACACTCCCCCTAGTGGTGCCCCCAAAGCATTACACTAAATATGCTTTCTTTATGATGTAAAGTCATTAATTAATAAATACCATTACAAGTGGGTTTTGACCTGATCTATTCCTACAAATTCTATACCTCTCGGGTCTCCCTTATGGACTTCTGCGAAATGTTTGGATACATTATGGTTAACAAATTTACGTTTTATATTGTATATATGTTCCCTAATCCGGGTTTTTAAAGTGCTCATCGTCTTACCAATGTATTGAAACCCACATTGGCAAGTGAGTAAATAAATTATCCCTTTGCTTGAACACTTAATAAATGTCTTTATTTTATATTCTTTTTTAGTAACTAGTGACGAGAATTGGGAAACCTTTTTAATTTTACTGGTTCTAAATGAACATCCATGGCAAGTTCCACAATGATGGAAACCTTTACTGCCTTTTAGAAAGTTATTTTCTTCTGTTTTTTCCTTATCTAAAAAACTTCTGGTTAATATCTGTCTAAAATTATTTGCCCCTCTAAAAATAAATTTTGGTTTTAAATCTAAAAATGGAAGTGCTTCTGGGTCTTCTTTCAAAACATGCCACTGTTTTTTTAATTATCTTTTGCAGTGTTCCATTGTTAGAACTAAAATTAAAGATAAAAATAATTTTTTTTAATGTCATTTGTTCCGTTTCCAAACAATTGATTCTTTTTTATTTTATATTTCAAAAGAGGTTGTCTTTCTTTTTCTGCAATTTCATTCTCAATTGAATCTAGATCTTCTTTTATATATCCTTTTTCCATAAATTTTCTTTTTAATATCCCTGCTTGTTTAAAATATTCTTCTCCTTCCGTGCAATTTCTTTTTAGTCTTAGGAACTGTCCTTTTGGAATGTTGGCAACTTTTTAGATCTATAAAACTATTTACATCAACAGTTTTGAAAAAAGTCTTGCTTTTAATTTTATTATTTTCAACATAAATTAAAAGATTTAAAATTTTTACATGTTCTGTACTTATTTCATAAGATAAATATTATAAGAATTTCGATTAAGAGCGATAATAAAATGTTCCAAAGATTCCCTGTTGCCTTTTCAAATAATAAAAATATCATCTATATATCTTTTGTAGAGGACCAGATTTGCCCCAATGTGAGTTCTGGAAAAAATATACTCTTCTTCATAAAAATACATAAAAAGGTTCGCATAACTTGGAGCAAATCTGGTCCCCATAGCTGTACCTAAAATTTGAAGATAAAATTTATTTTCAAACAAAAAAAAAATATTTTTTAAAATAAAGTCAATACATTTAATTAAAAACTCCATTTGAAGATCATCCATATCTCCTGATTTTTTTTCAAATTTTTTTTTAACAGCCTCACACCCTTTTTCATGTTCTATAATTGTGTACAGGCTTTTAACATCACATGTAACCATCATAAAATCTTCTTGCCAAATAAAATCATCTAAAATTTGGAGGAGACTCATAGTGTCTTTTAAATATGCTGGGCATTCGATCACCTTCTTTTGTAAAAATTGGTCTATGTATTGAGATAAAGGTGACAGAAGAGACCCTATTCCAGACACTATTGGTCTACCCGGAGGATTATTTATATCCTTATATATCTTAGGTAAAATGTAAATGACAGGAATTCTTGGATGTTTGTTGTCTAAAAATTCGTACTCTTTTTTTAGTTGAAATACCTGCTTCTAAACCTTCATTTAAAAATTCTTTATATTTTAATTTAATCTCTGGAAGAGGATTATGTGTTAGTTCTTTATACGTTTTGTCATCTTCAAGTTGTCTATAAATCTCTTGTAGGTATTTATCTTTATCCCATACAACCACCCCTTATTTGCTGGCTTGATAATAATTGATTTATCTTTTTTTAAATCATTCATTGCTATTTTTTCTTCTCTTGTTAAGTTTTATTGATATTTATTAATTGGCTTAATTCTCTTAATGTCTTTAGAACATCATTTTTCAAAGGTTTTGATTACATCGGATTTACAATTAATGGGGTAAAATTAGGATTTTTTTCTTTAGGTTAGTATGAATAAAAGTGTTATTATTGTCAAACGCTTTTTCTTCTACAGGATTTTTTAAAAAAATTTAAGACATAATTTTCTAAAATAAAAAAGAATCAAGAGTTTGGAAATGGAACAAATGACATTAAAAAAATTCCTTTTATCTTTAATTTTAGTTCTAACAATGGAACACTGCAAAAGATAATTAAAAAACAGTGGCATGTTTTGAAAGAAGACCCAGAAGCACTTCCATTTTTAGATTTAAAACCAAAATTTATTTTTAGAGGGGCAAATAATTTTAGACAGATATTAACCAGAAGTTTTTTAGATAAGGAAAAAACAGAAGAAAATAACTTTCTAAAAGGCAGTAAAGGTTTCCATCATTGTGGAACTTGCCATGGATGTTCATTTAGAACCAGTAAAATTAAAAAGGTTTCCCAATTCGCGTCACTAGTTACTAAAAAAGAATATAAAATAAAGACATTTATTAATTGTTCAAGCAAAGGGATAATTTATTTACTCACTTGCCAATGTGGGTTTCAATACATTGGAAAGACGATGAGCACTTTAAAAACCCGGATTAGGGAACATATATACAATATAAAACGTAAATTTGTTAACCAAAATGTATCCAAACATTTCGCAGAAGTCCATAAGGGAGACTCGAGAGGTATAGAATTTGTAGGAACAGATCAGGTCAAAACCCACTGGAGAGGTGGAGATAAAGAATATACCTTAGGATTTGCAGAAATGAAATGGATGTTTGAATTGGATACTATGATCCCAAATGGTTTGAATGTTGATTTTGAGATTAATAAATATATATAAGTTTAAGATAAGAATGGTACCTTTTGGTTTTATGGGAGTATTTATATATATATAAAATATACAAAAGATTATACATATATATATATATATATATATATAATCTTTTGTATATTTTTTTTTTTTTAATTCTTTATTTTTGTAGTGCGTAGAGGTATAACAATGAGCATGCGGTACCCCAACGGCATTCCTCATGCTTTCAAGTAATAATTGTAACAATAGGGTACATGTTAATACGTGCACATTTTATATGTTAAATGATTATGAAGCTTGTCAGTCAAACTCGATAACTTGGTGGTGTTTAAACAGGCTTAGACAATGTAGTAACATCTTGAAATTTCAACAGGCTAAAGCTTACAACATAGTGAATACGTTACATTAAGCAGTGGGTGAGTATGTATATCTGCATTTAGATAATTTTTGGTAGCTCTCTTTCAGTTTGATAGATAATAGATGAAAGGTAGCAATGCTGTAGCTATGCAACTACGTCTGTCTTATTGCTTTACTTTATCTGATGATAACAGTGGCTTAATATTTACGTAGCGTGTCATCGCTATACTATCTAGACCTCGTCTTGGTTATGCTGAATAGTGCATAAGTGAGAGGCATATCTTTAATGTAGCAACTGCTGGATCGAGTAGTCATGACACGTAGTAGGTAACACAGAAGGATTGTGTTGCAGATTATGTTAGGGTGAGCAATGCTGACTACCGGGGAACGGGTAATGCCATTAAGGTTTTATCATACCTAAAATTTTCATTAATACAGGGTGCCACCAGGCAGGGCGTCTTACATTCCTGTGTGACCTTTATATAAATACTGCTAAACCACAGTTAAACTATGTACAAGATTGTGTGCAGAGGGTGTGCAGGATATTCTGTGACTGCATTTGTAGCGCTATCTGTTGCAGTGAGTCGTGGCATATCATACTTTATGCTACTTATTATGAATGGCTGGGGTCACCGCCAGCTCCATCTCGGCATAAAGCATGAGATAGTTGGGTCATACACAAATGGAGAAAGATATTTCAATCACCTTGCTATAACTTTAAGGAGAAGGAGAAAAAAAAATAAAAATAAAAAATATTATAGAATAAGAACTCAAATTAACTTAAAGTCACAAAGTGAAGTAGCTTGAGGGTCGTTCCAGTCTCCCTCGGTCTCGGTCAGAGCGTCTCTCGTTGTTTCATGTGGTCGCTGCAGCATACGGTTCCCCTGTGTTTCGTCGAGGTGTGAACGGGGTAATTTTGCTTGGATTCCAGGTATGCTTGTGTCTGGGTTCAGGTTGTTGCTGAGGGTTGATTAGAATGTCCTGCGGCAGTGCCAGATCCCTCAGGAGTGTGTCTGCCTCTCGTAGGTCTTGGATTTGGTATGTGGTCTCTCCATGTATGATCTGAAGCATGCGGGGCATTCGCCAGCGGTACTCGATGTTGCGCTGTTGGAGCATGGATGTGAGGGGCTTGAGCGACCTCCGCCAGGCCATTGTGCTGCCGGACAGGTCATTATAGAATTCCAGTGCCATGTTTTCAAAACGATAATTTGGCCTACCCCTGATTGCCTTCAGGATCGCCGCCTTGTCTGTTCCGTGCCTGAATTGAATTATCAGGTCACTTGATGTCGACGGTGGGGCTCTGGCCGGTTTGGGGATTCTAAAAAGCCCGTCCAGGGGTGTTGCTTTCGCCTGTTTTTGTGGTAGGAGATCCCCCATCATTCTCCGCACCAGGTGTGGCAGCTCCGCTTCAGGGACAGCATCAGGTACCCCCCGGAGCTTCAAATTATTCCTCCGCCGTAGGTCTTCAATCTTTTGTATATTTTATATATATTTTTTACAATTTATTATTAATTAATATTTTTCTTCTGAGTTTTATCTGTTATAAAATCCATTTAACAATTTTTGTTCGAATTACCTCCTTTTTTATAACAGAACTTCTATTTTAATCTTATTGTCTGATTATTTATTATAGTTAAATGCTTTTCTTCATTTTACTATTTATCCTTATAACAATCATTTGGGACCAATACACTAAGAAGGATATTAATATTTATTGTTGAAGTATGTTTCCTTTCGTTTATGTATTTTGTTTTGGGTTCATTTATGTAGAGTTTGTGCTTATTTCAGCTAAGAGTATGAGTCTTTATTATACTAGCCGGAACCGGAAGTGACGCTTGGACGTGATGACGCAGGACACGTCCTGACGTCAGAACCCGGAAGTACAATGCCGCAAATGTGGCGAAAACGGCGCCAAACAGGATTTAAAAGAACTACGGGCCAGAACCAATCACATCACCTCTGATGAAGGCATTGTGCCGAAACGCGTTAGGTGAACTCCAAGAACTATTTGGGACTATATTTGTTTATGGGACTTTTCACATTTACCAGTTTATTATACTATTTTATGTATTTTTTAGTTTATTTTCAATAAAATTTTGTGTTTATTCTTGAACCTGCGTTCCTGGTTTACACATCAATTTTGGGAAGAACCCAGCAGAAGTCAGTTCCAGTCCTAAGGAATATTTCTGTTCAAGGCGTGTAGCTTGAGCCAGCTTCCAATCGGCTCCACGTATGTGAGTGTGATTAACCCATTACGTTGTGTGTTTTACTCCTATGTTATTACCCTATTGATTTTTCTGTTTCATTTCAGATATATACTAAACTGTGGGTAATATTATTTTATTTAATTCTGCATTGAGTGCTCTCACCATTTTCTTATCTATTTATCACTTGTGTTTATTTTAGTGGTTATTGTGGCCCACTAAGGTGATAGTAGCACCAGCTTTTGTTCAAAATATTTTACACCGTGTGTTTTGCATTTTTATTCACAGTTCTCAATATCGTTGAATAAAGTTTTTAGTTCACCGGTTGTTCGGGCAATTGAATCCAAAAAGAGTTCCATAACTGCAGCTACCTGGTCTAGCTCGTATAGAAGGAAAGTCCAGAACGGTAAGGTGTTTGTGAGTTATTAAACGAATGGACGGGAACTTGTTACGCTTCAGCAGTGTGCGGCTAAATAAGTGTCTGAAAACAGTTCCAGAGGGTTGACGACCATCTACCGCTGAGCGTTCGACGATTTTAAAATGGCGACCGCCACGTGTTCGGAAAACAAACGCGGACCACCAAGCAAGGTCTGGGTGGTAAATGAGCTGCAAACGACCCTGGTGGGAGGTCGGGTGGTTCGGGAGTTTGTTTTTTTTTTTTTACAAATTGAACCTGAGTGTGTGTATGTGGATTAGAAACAACATTTTAAATTGAATATGAGGTTCAAATTATGTTATCTTTTAAACACAGTAAAAAAAACAAAAATAAAAACGTTTGTTATGTCAAAATCCCGTCCGTACTCTCCAAAGGACAAAGATAATATGGTATTAACATTTAATGGCTACGTTAATCAATCAAGTAATCAGTTTAAGATGTTATAATATCAATATAAGGCGTTTCCAAACAGATGATTTACCAAGTGTAGCATTATCTATAATAGATATGTCGTTCATGGTTATGTTCAAGATAGATTTAAAGATAAAAGTAAATAAAAGTAAGTATAAGTATTTTATCATTTAATTTTGTTTTTTCCTCTTCTATATACACTTAGACATATCCATGAAGTTGAATTGTTTACTTTTAGTCTTAATAATATCTGATTATTAGTTGAGATGTTATCCATTAATAAAATATAATAAAAAGAATGATATCTAGAAAATATTTTTAAGAGTTAGAAGTTTAGAAATTTATTTGAGTAGTGCATATTAGAGGGATATATTCAATATAAAGATTTAGATATTTTGATTTATCTTTGTTTCCTTTGCCCCTCCAGTAACTTTTTATCCCTTGCCTTCCTTGTAATCTTCTTCTTGCCCCCCCACCCCTCTCGTTTGTCTTAATTCAATAACTGAAAAAAGATAAAAAGAAAGAGGGGAAAAATAATTAAATAAATAGCAATAAAAAAGGAGTGATAAAATATTTTTATTTCTGGTTGTCAACTATGTCTCTTTGTAATGCTTAGCTAAACTTTAATTAGTGTCTTCCTGTATAATCTTAATCAGACAACATATATACTATATTATCTTATGTAGGGGTATATCATGAGTTTAAGCTGTTCTGTACAAGAAGGGAAAAGGAAGAGAAAAAAGAAAAGGGAAAGACATAAATAAATAGATAAAAAAGATTTAAAAAATTCTGATTTATTTTCTGGTATTTTATGTTTCAAACTAAAGGTTAAAGGAACACTATAGTCACCTAAATTACTTTAGCTAAATAAAGCAGTTTTAGTGTATAGATCATTCCCCTGCAATTTCACTGCTCAATTCACTGTCATTTAGGAGTTAAATCACTTTGTTTCTGTTTATGCAGCCCTAGCCACACCTCCCCTGCTATGATTGACAGAGCCTACATGGAAAAAAAAAACTAGTTTCACTTTCAAACAGATGTAATTTACCTTAAATAATTGTATCTCAATCTCTAAATTGAACTTTAATCACATACAGGAGGCTCTTGCAGGGTCTAGCAAGCTATTAACATAGCAGGGGATAAGAAAATCTTAATTAAACAGAACTTGCAATAAAGAAAGCCTAAATAGGGCTCTCTTTACAGGAAGTGTTTATGGAAGGCTGTGCAAGTCACATGCAGGGAGGTGTGACTAGGGTTCATAAACAAAGGTATTTAACTCCTAAATGGCAGAGGATTGAGCAGTGAGGCTGCAGGGGCATGTTCTATACACCAAAACTGCTTCATTAAGCTTAAGTTGTTCAGGTGACTATAGTGTCCCTTTAAGCTAAGTAAAAGTTTTATACCTGTGAATCGTTGTCTATTTATCCATCTAATAATTAATTTAGATTATATGTATATATATATATATATATATATATATATATATATATATATATATATAAATAATTAATACTTAGGCGCACTCCCGGGTTTGAAAAGTCTTCAGTTTACTGTGTCCATAAATTCAAAGTTCAATAGATCAACGTTTCAACCTATTCAGGTCTTTATCAAGATACATAGTAAAGATCCGAATAGGTCGAAACGTTGATCTATTGAACTTTTAATTTATGGACACAGTAAACTGAACACTTTTCAAACCCAGGAGTGCGCCTAATTATTCATTATATATATGTTTTCGCTGGTTCTTTGCACCCTGGTATGTATCTAAAATTTTTATATTTAAGGAAAGTGCCAAACCATTTCTATTTTTATATATATATATATATATATATATATATATATATATATATTGTGATAAAGTGAAGACAGATAGGCCTATAACATTGAACCCCAGGGGGAGTATGTGTAGTATGTGCTGTAGGTAACACAAACCAACGTTCAGTTATGGGCCCCTGGGGTGGAGCATTTGGAGAGCAGGGTGGGCCAATGCTCCACTCCTCAGTTTATACACAACTGGGAGAAATAAGGTCCAGGCCAGAGTTTTTTTGAACTGTCTCCAACCCACTGCTCAGCTGCAGATAATCAGCTGTTGCAGTGGTAATAAACCCCTCCCAGCTAAGCAGGTAAAGGGGGATTGCTGGCTTCCTCCCTGGATGCAGGTAGGAGAGACGCAGCCTATGGGCTCTTTCTATAGGGTCTGCACCCAAAGTTTTGGGATCAATATATACTTTCAAAAGATCCGTTATATAAGCATCCAGATTATCCACAGATTCTGGTATGCCACGGATTTTTTAATTCTACCTCCTTGACCTATCCTCGATGTCTGTAATTTTTATTTCCAGCTTTGAGATACTGGATTTTAAATCATCTTTTTTACGTTGTAAGTCTGCATTTCTTTTGAGCCAATAGAGTGATTTCTTGAGTCATCGTTGTGCAAAGATTAGAAATTTTTTCCTTTGTTTGGGAAAGGTTTCTTTCCAGATCACCTCTAATCTAGAGTATAAATTGTCAAGTGCCTGGCTTAAATTACCATTAGTTATTATATTTGAAGCATCCATTATACTTGTATCCAATGTTTGATCTAAAGAAGATCTTGGGGTAAACTTGACGTATGTTTTGCTGAATAAAATGAACTAATATGTTGAGGTTTAGGCTTATTAGTATGATCTACATTCTCTATTTTTTTTCTGTTTGTCTCCTTTATCATTTTTGGGAGAAATTTTTTAAAAGAAAAAAAAAAGTGGGAGATAGGAGATTGCCATTTTGTCAAGAATGCTACTGTGAAACTTTGGTACCAATATAAAGCTGTTAAAAAAAATTTCTTAACTGTTTAAAGACAGATTTTTTTTTTTCAAAAGTGTGATTTAGTTTAGGTTTAGCTTACTGCTTTATATATCGCTATATACCTAATGCCAGGGATAGTGGAAACAACCTTGAGTGGGAGGTAGGTGGCTGCCATTTAGTCATATTCCTAGTATGAGACTAGGTTACCAATATATACTTGTTAAAAGCTTGTTGTTTTTGTTACCACTTTTTTAGAAAGAAAAACCTATTTTATTTATTTTTCTTAGTGTGTTAAGTCAAGTGTACACTGGGCATGTGTGTAAGCACCACACAGTGTTTCTTAAAATAGAACTCAATAATATTTCAACCCACACAAACAACATTTTTTTATTAATAAATTTGTGTTAGTTTTTGCAATACACAATAATTCATATACCTAATTTAATGTACTAAGAAAAATAAACCCACCATCGTCAATATTAAGTACTAATCCCAAGGACAAATTGAGGAAGG